TACTGTAACCATTGCTACTGTATGATTACAAGGATGACTGCTTCCTTCCCTCGATTAAAAGTAAGATGGTTCAACTCAGTCAAAGAGGGATAATGAGTTTAATGGAGGCAACAGGGAGAAACGTGAATCAAAGGTTTGTGTAAATAGTGTAACTCAAATAAAGAACTTAATTTAAAAACATTAACCAGGTTATCCCACTCTGCAAAACTACAGTCTGTAGTTTCAATCTTATCAATGACCTCACATGTTGTGAATACTAAATCACAAGGGGATATATCCCACAGAAAAGCTGACCTCATTGTGTTTCCCAAGCCAGGTAGAGTATTATCTAATAACATTACACAGTTAACAAACCAGTCAGGGGCTGTGCCAGTATTAAAGTAATTCACAGGCAGGCCACTTTATTTTCCTTACACAAATACTGTAGATTACTTACTGTTTGTTTCTTGCTTGAGTGTTCTATACAACATTTCTAATTTTAACACATGTATTTTTTAATCATAGTTTTTATGTTATTTTTAAAATTGCAGTGTATTTTCCTTCTTTGATATTTCTGTTGAGACTTGTCCTCCTGGTCTAGTCCATTATAGAAAGATGTACTCACAGCTGCCCACCACCAGGCATGAGGAATGCTGGTGAAGTTTGTGTGCGGCATATCATGCTCCACAGTGTAAACCATGGCGGAGAAGCTGAAGATGCCCATGGTGATGAAGAGGAAGAGGCAGCCCACTTGTTGGTAGCACTGACGCAGAGTGAAGCCGAAAGCCCGCAGACCTGTGGAGTGTCGCGCCAACTTCAAGATACGAAAGATTCGCATCAGTCTCATGATCCTCAACACTTGCCCCAGCTTTCCCACCTGCCTCACTGCCTGTATGTCGACCTCATGCTTTATGTAGTTCTCCTCAGTGTCAAAGAGCTCAAGGATGGCCTGCAGATACTGAGGCAAGATGGCAATCAGGTCCACGGTGGTGAGCACACTGCTGCTGAAGGCACTGCGGCCAGGGGTGGATGCCAGACTGAAGCGCGGAAGAAAGCGATGCATATGGACTCCACATATTCCCAGTATGTCTTACCACTGAGCTGACCTGTGGGAGTTCTGTATTGCATCTCCTCCACTGTATTAAGAGTCATGGCCACCAAGGAGATCAGGACAAATAGGCTAGAAGCCACAGCCATCAGCTTGGCTTGGATAGATGAAAACGGCTTCTCCATCAGGTTCCAGATAACTCTGCGCCTCTGGCCCATAAACATGTCATGAAAGAGCTCCTCATTATCCTCGATCTCTACTTCTGCTTCCAGCTCCCTCTGGATCTTCAGCTGCTCATTCAGCTCGTCCTGCCTTTCCTCAAATGAGATGCGGCAGCAGCGGTGGGTGTTCTTGATCCTCACGCCCCAGTAGTTGATCTCCTCTAGGAAGTTGCGAGGACACAGCTCGTCTTTGACCCACAGCACACCAGTCCTGTAGAAGTTGAAGATGCTGTGGAAGACATCTGGGTCCCTGTCAAAGAAGTACTCATTGTTGGTCACAATGTAGTCATCACACAGATTCAACTTCATGTTGTAGTCAGTGTAGGTGGCCAGTCGTCCTATTCTGGTTTTGGGGTACTTGGCAGCCATCTTATAGGATATCTGGTAGGGCTTCCCCCCAACGTTTATGTTGATCATGTAGTCCTTCTTTGAAAGTGATATCTGTGTGGAGAAGCTGTCTGGAGAATTGTCATCATCTTCATCCTCGTACTCTGTGAAAATGTCATACATGTCCCTGCTCAGCTCCTGCATGGAGTTCCATGTCTTCATGCAACCTTCCTTGGCTAGTGGATAAGCAATCTCAGAAGATCTTCGATTAATGTCTGCATCAATCACTTTGTAGTTGGGGAAGAGACTAAACCTCCTGTTCCACAAGTTGACCACCTTGCTGGTGCTCCCCATGTCAATGCTCCCAGACTACACAGCAGTCAGAGTTCTCAGACCAGTCAGTATTACGGCTGTCTAATACCCCCCTTTACCTAAGCATGAAACAGGATGCCTCATGTCCCCATTAATGTTGCTGACTGAGAGGATCCATGTACTTACAAGTCATCTAAATACCATTATCCCCTGCTGAGCTGCCTGCCTGACATGATGTTGGCTGTGTGGCATACCTCAACACATTACCATCATGACTTCACACACAATCTATACTTCTTTTATATTCTTTATGATGTGAACTCATAGTTCCTACAGCTAACTTGAGTGGCTGAAAGACAGTAGAGCCACCAAGGCTGGTGCATAATACATAAAGTGGATATAGGCTTTAAGCATAGCCTGCTTCCTAATTGGGAAGGGGCGCAGGATTCTTTGGATAAGATATGAATTAATACCACACACTGTAGGAAATAATCAGATGTTTTACTGTATATTAAACTATAGAGAAGCATCAGATGTAAGACTGTGAAATGTCATAATACATTTTCCCAACAGTCAGCAGTGATTAAACAAGATGAGATTTCTACTCAAAAGAGGTCTTATATTGAGCATAACCTTGCTTGAAGTTGTGACGGAATCCTCTTATTGGATATCAGATTATTGTCCTGCTGATTAACAGTGCCAAATGAAAGAGATTGTTTGAATATGCTCATCCATTCTTTGGCACATTTAATTCAGTATTATTAACTGTAGTGCACTAGTTTGCCTACATTAAGGTGAAATCTGCTCCTTGGCCACCAGCATGGGTTATATGAATATCTTTGACCAGCATGGGTCAGGGATATCCATATCAAGATACACTGGAATAAATACGTAATGAAACAGTTCATGTAAATTAAACTGACATATAGGCTAATGTGTTTGCCACTGCAGGCACAAATATTTATATTATTTCCCAAAAGCCATTCTTGCAGCAAACTTTCATTTCTTATTTTGAAAAGCACAGGCGGAAGTTATTTGTGCGTCTAGCCTCATCTGCTAAGAAAACGCTGTTTTTTAAAGGGAAACCAAGGTTGTTGAGGTCTGTGTTGGGCATAGCAGCTTGAAGGTAGGAGTAAACTCATTTTTTGTGTAATGACTGTCCCAGCGGCGTCGGCGTTTTTGTCCTCTAAATGGCTCTTGTTTAGCAGCTTATCGCTTTGGTGAGCGGAAATCCAGATGCGGACAAGTGTAAAGTCGAGACAACTGTAAAGTGCAGGCTAACTAGCTAGCTAGGTCGAAGCTAACAAGGCTAACGGTACCGTCACCCGGTTCACAGGAGCAGACTGCCGAGGTCTGTGATGCTGCAGCTGCCTATATTTAGTTGCAATACTGGACTGTGGACAAATTGATATAAGTAATTGTGTGTGTGTTTTTTAATGAATGCTGTCACAGTTGTGCGAGTGTCACAAGTGTACTGGCTAATATTTCCTCTGAATGGCTGTGCGAGTGGGGGTGTGATGTCCCCCCCTTGCATATAAACAGTTTTTCTTTGGATTAAGTTCTTATCCTGCGTCTCATCTGCTCCCGAGAGGCAAGTTAATTCTGAAAAGAGTGTAATCATTTGTCCACTGTGTCAACATCTGTTTTTGAATGTTCACCAGTTATTAATCATTTGATCTACTGTCCCTCATAAAATATTGTTTACATGTGCTTAGCTGTCAGAGGCTGAATTTTAGTTTCTTTGATTAAAGACAGTTTTCTGTGGCCTGTTACTCATCCCATTGCATCAGTATGATAGGAAACAAATTATAAATTACAGTAACTAATAAAAAATTAACTATTTAATATTAAAACAGGTTAGCCATTTGACATTTTTATCTTCAAAGCAGGTTGTTTTATTTTAGGCAGAGTAAGAACAATTCTATTCCATTTAAAATACACTATATTGCCAAAAGTATTCACTCACCCATTCAAATAATTGATTTCAGGTGTTCCAATCACTTCCATGTTTATAGGTGTATATAATCAAGCACCTAGGCATGCAGACTGCTTCTACAAACATTTGTGAAAAAATGGGTCGCTCTCAGGAGCTCAATGAATTCCAGCGTGGTACCATTATAGGATGCCACCTGTGCAATAAGTCCAGTGGTGAAATTTCCTTGCTACCAAATATTCCACAGTCAACTGTTAGTGGTATTATAACAAAGTGGAGGTGATTGGAAACGACAGCAACTCAGCCACGAAGTGGTAGGTTACGTAAAATCACAGAGCTGGGTCAGTGGATGCTGAGACGCATAGTGCACAGAGGTCACCAACTTTCTGCAGAGTCAATAGCTACAGACCTCCAAACTTCATGTGGCCTTCAGATTAGCTCAACAACAGTGCATAGAGAGCTTCATGGAATGAGGTTCCATGGTCGAGCAGCTGCATCCAAGCCTTACATCACCAAGTCCAAGGCAAGTGGTGTAAAGCACGCTGCCACTGGACTCTAGAGCAGTGGAGACGTGTTCTCTGGAGTGAGGAATCACGTTTCTCTGTCTGGCAATCTGATGGACGAGTCTGGGTTTGGCAGTTGCCAGGAGAACGGTCACTGATATTTGGGCTGCAAATATTGATAACTATATTATGTTAGTCTGGTGACTTTATTAATTGTGGCATATATAAATTGGCCAAACTTCCCATAACAACACTTATTATTATACAATTAAATTACTGTGTGTGTGTATAATATGAAAATATCAGGCTTTGGTGACTGTCGGTGGTGGAGGTATTAGTGCAGACAAGGTGTCAGTCACCTGATGTGGGTTGACAGGCTTTTTATATGTGTCCTGAATTCTTTCCTTTATGTCATCTCCTTGCTTTGAGGTTCACTACCTGGTGCGACCACCGTAAAACAACCACGACTTGCAGCGAGTAATCTGGCCTTTGCTCATAGCACCATATTGGACAGCACTTCAAAAGCCTTTGCAAACACTCTACTGCTGACTGTGTACATACAGAATTGGAAACAACTACCTTGTACAATAAACAGTATGAGGAAATGGCTGTACTCTTACTGCTGTTTGCAGGAGAGAAACAGGGATGTATGAAACATTGTGCGAATACATCCTTAATGCAAATTTAGTCTATTTGTTTATGGAAATGGCAGAACAAAATTTAGAGAACACAAGTTAATCAAAGGAAATAAGAATGAAAATACAAAATAGTACCCGTATTGTAGCATTGTTGACTTAAGTTGCAGGAGATGGTGTATATGGGAGCAGAGAATAAACCTTTCTAGCACACGCTCCAGCTGGACTGAAGGTTTTATTTTGAAAAGAAAACCGTGGTCACCAAAGCAACCTGCCAGGACCCTATTAAACTTATTTTACTGTTTCAGGGAAAAGTGGGTAGAGACGACAGTAAAAGAGCTTCAAGTGTTAGGCCAGCAGTTATACTTGAAACAAAACTGATTAACAAAAGCTGTCAAACTGCTGTCACATGTAATGCCAGGAGTAAAAAAAAAACACATAGCCTCGGCCTGACTCGGCATCTGTTTCTTTAATGATGTCCATGCAGATGGAGGAGCTTGTGTGGCAGATGGGGATGGTCGCTGTCTTTTAGAGGCAGCGGGTGTCAATAATGGCCATTCTGTCTGCAAACAGTTGACTTTAACCACACTGAACTCTCCATGAATACTCTTATTGACAGAGGAATAACATAGATTATGGCATCATGTATGAGATATGCGATACATGGTCTCTAAACTGTCATCAGTAAGTGATGGGGAAAAAACAAAACAAAAATCACAACACTAATTCAGAAGAGAGCGAGGCTTAAAATGGTTGTCAAGGTTTTCTACAACCCTGTAATCGTTTAGACAGATGAGAGGAAATTTGTATCTAAAATGATTTAGCTGTTTCAACACTGCCTTATTCTTGGGTGTGACCTTTGTATGGGAACAAGAGCTGCTCCTTATTTGGATTTGTTTAAGACGGGTTGATATCGGTTCACTTTATACTCCCTCAGAGCAAAGGACACACTTGTAACTATACACTGTGCAAAGTGATACAGTCCGTGTTGTCCCACGCTCCCCACCGCCTCAGAGCTGACCTTGGCTCAGACCTCACTCTCACAACATTAAACTATGCTGACAGGACAGTTGGTTCGCATCGCCGGCAGTAAGTCAGACTTGTTTCCAGTGCATGTTGGACTCCGGCAGGGCTGCCCTTTGTCACCGGTTCTGTTCATTATTTTTATGGACAGAATTTCTAGGTGCAGCCAGGGGCCGGAGGGAGTCTGGTTTGGGGACCACAGGATCTTGTCTCTGCTTTTTGCAGATGACGTTGTCCTGTTGGCTCCATCAAACCAGGATCTCCAGCGTGCACTGGAGCGGTTTGCAGCCAAGTGTGAAGCGGCTGGGGTGAGAATCAGCACCTCCCAATCTGAGGCCATGG